CCCCCAAACAATTTACTCTCTAACATACTCCAGTAAAAACTTTGTTTTCCTTTTAACTATACTACTTAAATTTTTTTATTTTTTATTTACTAAACTGAACTCTTACAAGAATAATAAGTCAATAAAAAATAAAATAAAATTTTTGCAGAAATTTTAAATCTTTTTATCCGAAAAAATATAACACCTCAAATACACGCACGTAGCGCGTACTTTCAACTAGTCTAAAACAAAAACAATGTTCCTAGTTTTCTAAGGAGGAAAAAGATAATTATTACTACAAGCCTCCAAACCTACTTAAGCCAGCTTCATCCTAGGTCCAAGTTCAATAAATTCTACCTTGAATGGACTGTTTCACGCTTCACTTGCACAAGGAAAAAGGTTTTCCATACCCTTTCACATAAGAATAATCGATAAGCTAAGCCAAAAATCATCAACTTTAGCATAAGTTATCAGAGAAGTGGGCAAAAGGACCAAACAACATTGATCCTATTGTCTCATTTTCTGAATCAACAAAGTTCAGGAATGCAGTCTACCTCACTGCAACCAATTCCCAACTTCTTCCGGTCACTTAGGCATCGCTTATGGTACTTCAGGTACCTAAAAAATGGAAACCAAGTCAGCAGACAAATAAGTCTAAACTCTATATGTAAACCCAAAATACACCATTTCCTTACTTTTGCTGTTTAAAACCACTTTCCTCAAGGAGTTGGTGACTTGGATGCTGAAATGGTGGAAATGACTTTGGCATGGAACCCACCGGTGGACTACTGCCCGAGAGAAACCCATGTGGAGAAACACTCAACTTTGAAGGCCTTGGGCTGAAAAACAAAGTTTTCAAGTATCAGACGGCACAATCATAAAAATACCCAAACAAAAATTGTTACCAGGCCTGTCAAAAGGATAAGCTTGCTATTAACAATAGCTTTGATTTTGGCTCAGTCCGAGAAGAAAAGTACCTCAAAAGGCTAGCCAAAAGATACCATTTCTGAGAAATAGATCAACAATGTCAAAAACACAAGCAACAGTCCCCTTAAACTAACCCATGATTTTCAGGAGGCGTAGACCCAAAGAAATATCCAACTGATTTACTTGGCGGGCTTTCTGATATGATGCTTAGAGAGCTCCGACCACTTCCATGGTTCCTAAAGTTGCTGGAAAAAAAACGCTGTTTATGGGATGATTGTTGCTTTTGAAAGGTTTTACTCTGCTTCTTTCGAGCATTGGAACTTCCAAACTCATCAAGAGCACTGGTTCCAGCAAAATTTTCTCCAGGCCTTAAATTTGATAATCCTACACCACTGCTTAAAGATCTTGAGTTCCCTTCTTTATTTTCATAGCTAGAGTTGTTCTTTTTACGACTGTATCGCTTAGTTTTTAGTTCCTGCACATAATTTGTAACTCAGAATGGTGTACAATAACATAAATAATCAACAATATATAAAAGGAATCAACTTCTCAACCTGCTCATAGAAGTAAAGACCGTCACTTATAGTAGAAGCCTGCTCCTTGGAAATGGGTTTTGATTCTGTAACTCCAGTTGAAGATACTTCACCGATCACACTATTCTGCATAGCAGACCAATAAAATCAGTCAGAACTCCACAACACAGCTTTCTTATTGATTAACCAGATAAAAGATTGTTAGCCACAAAGTCCAGTTAGATCAGACTAAACTCCAGTATAAAAAAAGCCGAAGTATTTTTATCTGAGCACAACTTTCTGAACAAATAAGTTGTGACATATTGACATACAGAGAGAGCCTTCCACGAGGTCATATTATGACACAAACGATGCAACTGGTCTAATACATATATATCTACTGTCTATTTTGCTTAATGAAACGAAATTACGTCAGACAAATCACATTTCTTCTCTTATACATGAACATCAGATGCACTTGATCTGAGTTGATATGGTGAATTAATTTGATCCAGATTTCTCCCGTATCAAGAATGACAACCAAATAATTTACCTATTTTCATATCCAGAAATGCCCCGAACTCACTTCGCGAGCTAAAATTTACCAATTTATTAAAACATTTATCCTTGCAGTCTCTGAGTTGGATTGAAAGTTCAACTTGAGCAACACTCGACCAATTAATCTCCATTCACTAAGGTTTCTTACTGTAGGCAAATGCAAATTTTATGCATCTGTCTGCAGATTCATCCTTTTAAAGGTGTGTGCGCATGCAGGATGCACACATACACACAAAAAATGTATTTTCATGAAGGAAGTTCCTGAGAAACCCCTACTTTACATAATTTTCTTTGAGAACCAAATTTAAGACCAGATAGGAGTTCTGCACTTTAGGATAAAAGCTGTGTATAATTACCATTTGGTTTGTAACTCAGTTCCTCAAATATGATTTTCTGTTTATCACCCATGCCAGAAAGTGTAATAGTGTTTAAAAAAAAGTGTGACAGTTCCCAACTAGAGCAACAATGAAAGAAAAAAAAAGGTTTGCTATTATGAAGACACAAGTATATACATTGAACGTGATAGATACAGGTTTGCATGCATATGTGCACATAGAAAACCATACATCAACCTCATGGTGTGTGACAGCTTTGACAGTGATTATATCAACACATAGGACAGGAAAATAAGAGCTGTGAAAATTAATCCTATATACAAGAGCGTCAATATGCTTCTCTTTGTGGGCTTGATGCGTGGAACATTTCAATCCCTTTTCCCATTTTTTTTCCCTCTCCTTGTCCTCCCTCCTTTTTAATTTGCATCTTTAGCCTTTTGTTTTCGTTTCTTTCCACCTTTGTGCTTTCAAATTCACTTTATTAAATTATTTTTTAGTGTGTATCATTGAAATATTTTTTTCATCAAATTTGATCTTTGTAAATGCTTTTTCAATTGTCCAATTGAAACAATTATTTCGAATATGCTCTTATTTAAACATCTTCCTTTTTCTCATATGTTCCTCTACTTAGATATTATTTTTTTACAGTTATCCATAATATAATATTTTTGAATGTCGCCCTTATATATAATTATCTTACTGAAACGTCTTTCTCTTGCAACCCTCTCAAAAACTATTTTCACATATGTAATTTCCCCTCTGATTTTTCTATAACAAATCTTGTTTTTCATCTGTAAGTGTAGATATCTTCTATTACTAATGTTTAAAATCAAAATGAGATTCTCTTTAACCAAAATTATTTTAAAAAAAATAAAAATAAACTGAAGAATACTAAAATAGTTGTATAAATAATTCTTTAGTATATAGTAAATAATAAACCGGTGACTCTCAACAGTAACACGTGCGTACTATAACTCAAATATATGTAATTCTATTCAACTCTTGTATAGGATGTCACGCGCGCACAGAGCGCATGGCTAGTTAGTATAATAAAATGGTACTAGAGCAAAAGCATAATAGACATTACCTGGGTGACAATTACAAGTCTTTGGACATCCTGATCGTTGACTATGATTTCATCATCTTCATCGTCCATTCTAGGGGTCAACAATATCATTCAAAAGGCAAATTAGGAAATCATGAAATTACTAGATACTTGTTCATGGTCGGCATGCATATAAGAAATAGCTAGTTAAACATGTGCATTTCATATAGGTAGAACAATCATGAATTCCAACCTGTCACTGTAATATGCATTAGCAGTGAGCCATTAAATACAAAAGGACGAAATATCGCTGCTTCTAAAATATGTAAACCAAATCACCAAAGAGATATATAATTACAGAAGATAAGGAAGATCTATACATAGATGACTGGAACACAGAAGAGCACCAAACATACATTTCCTGTAAATAAAGAATAAACTAAATGCTATGCATCGAAAGGCCACAAAATAAACCAAGAAATCTTGCTGGCTGATTTTTTTAATGTACTCATTAATAAACTGAACTGACTCAAGGATCATTTTCCAAACAAACCAATATTTCTTCTCTCTTTTTTTTTTTTTATTTAAACAGAGACAAAATTTCATTAATAATAGTAAAGGATTATGTAGAAATATAAACAGAACGTAGTTGATAAAAAGGTAGAGGAACTTTCAGTACCTTCTAACTGATGACAGATCATCCTTCTTCATCCTTCTATGCTCAAACTCCAGTTCTTCATCGAGCATAAATGTGTTTCCAAAATCATTTGATAGATCATCAAGATTCTTAGCAGTAAGATCCGAGGAGATTTTTCTGCCTCCAGTTACCTGTGAGTAACTAATTCCAGTTGAATAACTGGTGGCATGATCCGAGTACTTGTTTGATTCAGAATTTAATTTCCCAATTGAATAGCCATCTTCACCCGTAACTGCTGGAGAAACATCATTTGTGAGAACATTATGACTCTCCTGTTCTATGTTGTTTAATGACAAGTGCTCCGATTTCTCATCATTTCTTGACAAATCAACATTTTCTTTGGAAGTATCCTTTTTATTATCATCATTGCCATCACTACCCGTAAATGCTGGCTTCTGCGATAGTTGTCCTTGGAGAGTCACGGGCTTTGATGTCAACGTAGAATCTGCAGAAGCTGGAATCCACCTTGCCCACTCATCACGCCTCCGTATCTTGTCACCCTAAATAATACAAAACCTAAATTAAAATATTTGGTAGAAAGAAAGAAAGTGTGAATATACACGATGTGTGCCTAGTTCGTAAGATCCTTAGCGACTTTCTAAATGACGAAAAGCGTAGAACACTATGGTCAAATGTCACAGTGTTCTTCTGAATTAGTAGAAATCTAGAATGTTATAATTGTTTTATTGGTGAGTGAAATATGTCATGATGTTAAAAATCCCAAATCCCTGTTTGACATTAGAAGCTAAAATTTGTAGTTTTACAGTTATTTCTCATGCCAAAGATGACAATCTTCTCCTAAAGATCTTCAATTATTAAAAGGAAATTTGCATCATCGGAATTGGAAAGTATTTCTATTCACTATTGACACCAGAAGAGAGGGAGATAGTAGCAAACTTTTGAAGAGAACAAAGATAGAACCATAGGAGAATTTAACGACAACAAAAAGGAGTCCTCAAAGGGCCTCCTAATACCGGATGCAAAAGAACCTGGCAATTTTAGGCCAATAAAAGAAAGAAACAGACCATTGAAAAATTAAAAGGTTTTCATATAACCCATCCAGGTACCCAAAAAAGTATAAAAAATAAACAATAAAAGCGGCAGAATCAACAACAAAGAGACAACAGCGATAGAATCTCATAAAAGCTTAAGGAGAATTTACCAGCACTTCTACAGTATTTGAAGCATACAGCGCATCAAGGATAAAAGGAATATCTGTACTCATTTTCTTTACCTGCACCAAAGACAAAAATAAATATATAGAGGGGACGATGTATTAATAACTTACAGTACTTCTCTCAATTAGAAATAATAATCATAATGATGATGATGAGTAATAGGAATTATAGCATAATAACAGTAATTAGAATAACATATTATTAATAACTTATTATTATAGTAATAACATCATTGCAAACAGTTCAAAGCATCAAGCATCAATCATGTTTAATATGCAATACTATCTCTGACCATACCCTTTTGAAGTCCGCAATAGTAGATATCGGAACCCATCCTTGGTCATCCATCAGCGAGATCAGGTAATGGTCATTCTGCAAATTTTCATCACTGTCAAAATGAGGATATAGAGTCAGTGATTATTTAGATTGTTATCTGTCACGTACAACAGATCAATTCAAAGACAAAAATTTTAAAAACTGAATTATAGAAGGTTGCATTTGTCTACATAAATGTCTTTATAAATGAGAAAATTTCCTTATTCCACATTAATTCGCTTACCTGAAATAGTACTCAATTTGTTTTATTATGTGAGCCCTTAAATTTAGTGTCTCTGGGGGTACTGCTGGAGGACCTGGGCTTAAAGGATATGAAACAAAATACTGAGGAGGTCCCCTAATTGCACCTGGTGGTGCAACTGGTACATAGCATATAGATCCAGGTCCTGTTAATGATACAAATCAGTTACGGTACTTCATTTAAAAGAATAAAAAAAAAATAAAATGAAAAGTCACGTGCAAACAAAAACTGCAGCAAAAAAGTTGCAGGAAATAGACGCAATAGATTAGCGACAAAGTGTAAGTGCAGAACGGAAAACTTCACCCGGGATGTGAAAAGTAACATAATTTTATCTCAAATTGATGCACATTGCTGAGTGATAATATTTAATTACCAGGAAGGCTTGATGCAACCATAAACCCTGGAGTTGGACCATAAAACGGAGGTCTAAATAAAGGCCTTGGTCCAACACTCGGTTGCATGGGAAAGTTGTCCCTTGGACTAAATCCTTGTTGATGATGCCAATTATAATTCCAATGGTTCCCAGGTTCCTGCGCATTAGGTCTTCTAGTAGCAAAGTTACCATAAACATGTGGGTCCCCCCTTGGAGGCTGACTTGGTGGCACAAAATTTTGCATCGGTGTCTCAGATCCAGATTTCGCCAAATGAGGATCAACATTCGGCACCGTTGCATGAAATGGCGGGTATGCATACCCAGGAATTACCACAGGAGGTGGTGGTGCCGGTACCATTGCAGGAAAACCATGTGGCATTGATGGCGGGTGATGATAAGGCAAATGTACAGGAAAAGGACCAGGACCATTTGGATTGCGCTTAGACCCTGATCTTTGATGTCGTGACGATGGATGCTTATGTGAGTGATTAAAATTTCCAGACCCATATGTCTTTTGCTGCCCAACTGATCCCTGGATGACCAAATAAAACATGTACAAATAAGTAGAGTCATCCCATGTTGGATTTCTTTCTCTCTCTTAAATACTCAACTATATGAAAAGGAAGAAAAAGAAAAACCATAAATCAACCATGTCGTCTGACTGTTCTAGTTCACTCCAGCCTTCAAACTACAATTTATAACATATAATAATGATAATAATGACACCAATAAAAGACAATAACAATTTATCATTATGATTACTGTAGTTGTATTCCCAAACATCAAAACAGAGTCAAAAACTTGAGTCATAAATTCATTGACGAAATATGAGTCAAAGTCCCTTTCAACTATACAAATTCTCTAACTTTACGGGGTAGAATAATCAGAAATCGGGGCTTTAGCACCATCGAAAGTAACTAGGAACAGAACAACAGCTAACCCATCAGGTATCAAGTATTGATTTAATGTCTAATATAATCTTCCCATTACCATCCGTAACACGTTTAACTCTTCTGACACGCATTTTTGTCCCAATGAGAAACAAAAACACAAGCTAAACAAACACGTATAACTAATATCAATCCCAAACAACATGCTTAGTAGTATCTCTTCTCGTAATGAAAAGGAATACAAATTGTGAAAAATAAATAAATAAAAAAAAGCGTTCATCAGTGAAAGAAGAAAGGCAAAACCTGCACGGCCGCCGGGGGCGGCGCATTGGCATTGGGAGGCGGCGGCGCAGACGCCGCTAAAGGAGGCGATTTCGATGCATCCGGATTGCTCTTCGGGCGCTGGGCGTCTGCGAGCGCAGGCCAAGAGTCGGCTCCCATCACCGGGGCGTCTGCAGCGGCTGCGGCGGCCTTGGCATCCACCGGAGTCTTCCACGGCGACTTGGGCCCACCAGTGAGGTCCCTCCCGTCATCCCCAGCGTCATTCTCCGCCACCACGACCATTCCTCCCCCTCCGATCTCACCAAAACCCCCCACTACTCTCACCAAACTCAACAAAATTACAGAAAAACAATTAAAACAATAAAAGATGAAAAACTAATCAAATAACAACGGATTATCCAATCAAATTTCCGAAAGTGACAAATCGGCGATGTTAAAGATCTTTTCCTTTCGTAATTTTTGTTTTTATAAGAAAGTGGAAGAATCAAGCGAGTATCATGGCGAAAGTGAGGGTTTTGTAGGTTGCAGCGAGGAGAGAGAGAGAGAGAGAGAGAGAGAGAATATGAAGTAGAGAGAGAAAGTGAACGTGTGAGTGAGTGATGAAGTGGAGATAGAGAGAGAAAGAGAAGACTAGGGTTTTAGAGTTACAGAGAGAGAGAGAGAGAGAGATTGACAGTTGCAGAGGACAAGAAAGAAAGGCTGATGACTGTTGAAAAGGCAAGCGTGTAGGTTTTTGCGTCCCCTTTTTATATATGCCCTTGCTTACTTCCAATGAGCGAACCCCAACTTCTACTTCACTTCTCACTTCACTTTGGTCACTCAAAGCCATACGCAATAGATTCCATTTATCTCCATAAATGAAATAATAATAAAATTAATGGATAAATAGAAGATACAATAAAATAAAATAAAAATAAATAAATAAATAAATAATGGGTTAATCTCACTAGTGTCTTGGAGTCATTGTCATTTATTTTTGAAATTAAGGTCTTCTTTATTTTATCGATTTGAGTTTAAAATTTAAATTTTGTTATAGTAAAAAGTTCTCAGAAACAGTCACATCTAACTTTTTTGTTACGGTAAAAAGCTCTCACATAAGATCGCATTTCAAGTCGAATTAAAAACTCAAATTAACGAACTAAACGGGTCCTAAAACTCTTATTTTATCCTTTGAATTTTCATTTAATCACACATTAATTATTTTGTTAGAATTTTTGTTAAATCATACGAAAAAGTGGTTAAGTATGACCAAATAGTCTTTTTTATTAGTTGTAACATATATTTTAACAGAACTATTTTGTAAGAATTTCTCTTAAAATCATAAAAAAATAGTTAAGTGTGATTAAGTGTAGTTAAGTAGTCTTTATATTATTATTATTTGTTTTAGGGATAATGCAGTAAATAGCATATTTTTTAAATTAAATTAAGTCGATGACAGATTTTAAAATTATTTAAAATAAATATCAGTTTACATGGTAAATAAATTATTCATAGTATAAATAGTTCATTTACCGCTAGTAGAAACTTTTTTCATGTAAATTTGTAAAAGGAATTTTTTCCATATAAATAAATATTTTTTGAAATTTTTTATCACGTAAGTTACTTTTTACTAGTTGTAAATAAATTATTTACATAGTAATTTAAATCGTGGATATATTTAGTAAATTTAAATTCATAATTTACCAAGTTAGCATCATTTTTTAAGAACCGTACAAACTTTAATGGTAAATTTTGGATATACACATTAAATCTAGGATTTACCAAGTTAGATTCACTTGAAAATGAATAATACAAATTCTAATAGTAAATCCTTGATATATTTAGTAAGTTCAAAATTTACCAAAGTTTGCATCATTTTTTTTTAAAACTGTACAAACTCTAGTGTTAAATTCTAGATATATGGTAAATCTTGAATTTACCGTGTAATTTACTAAGAGGGTATTTTTAGAATTTTAACTGGTTGTAAATCTAGATTTGCATTGGATTGTTCTATTTATTAACTTCCCTTAAATATTGACCTATTAATTTTACTAATAAAAAATTAATATGCCAATATTAATTTTATCATTAATATTGATCTATTAAGGCTTATTAATTTTACTAGATTAGTAATCTTAACAAATACTCTTTAAAAGTGCATGAATTAGTATTTTTACTTTTTACTCTTGATTTATAATATTTTTAATTAAATAATTACACTAACAAAAGAGTATTTATCAAGAGTAAAGAGTAAAAATCTAAACTCATACACTCTTAAAGGTAAATTGAGAGATTTTTTTTTTTTTCATTTTATAATTCCTCTCAAATCTTACCTATTTCCCTCAATCTCTCCAGAAATTAAGTTGGGCCTATCTAAGGGGCTCGAACATGGGCCCTCATTACAGACCGGGCCTCACATCAGGACAAGAAGAGCAGAGTTCGAGTCACGAGAATATAAAAGAAGAGAAATTCCATTCAGCCGACTTGGCACTCACTGATGCCGCTGTTCACAAAAACGTGCAAAACCAAATTTTACCAAAAGTAAAACCAAAAACACAAATTAAAAACCGGAAAAGAAAGAAAGAAAAGAAGAAAAGTAAAGCGCTGTTTTGTCAAATTCTGATCAACAAAAACAAAAATACAAACATACAAACATACATCGGATTTTATACCAACGTTGTTGTTGTTGTTGTTTTTGTTTGGATTCCAACGAGAAAATGTTCGTCTTGATCTGATTAAAAAGGCCTCGTGATTTGTATCAGATCCTGATAATTTTGCTCGTCTTTCAAACCGGTACGTGTTTTTCGTTATGTCACTTTCTAGTAATTTTGAAATCAGCTTCTTATGTTGTTTTCATAGTATCCGTTTTTTGCTTTATTTGAATCTGTAAATGTTTGATTTTGCGAGTGACTAAGTTAAGATCAAATGGTTTCAAAGTTTTTGTTTTTTGAATACTTGTAATGGGTTTTTTGTTTTGTCTCTGATTTAGTGAGGTTCCTGTTTTGTTGAGCTGAAAAATGAAAATCTTCTCTTTTTGTAGGTCAACAGAAATGGGAGTTTTTGAATTTTGCTTTGCTTGCGTCAGTTTTTTTTTTTTTTTTTTATAATAACTTTTTCCCCCTTTTGCCAGTCTAGAGTTGAGATTCTTTTTCCTGCCCAAGAAGGGTATTAGACTTTTTTGAAGAACTTTGAGATTAGGCAATAAATATAAATTTGTTTTTGTGCATGTATGCCCTATTGATAGTGTACCGTTTATGAATGTTACTTGTGGATAAATATATGTAAATCTTACAGAGTTTGTTGAACATCTAACAGTGTAGAAATACACACTACTGATTCGAGTGTCCTTTTGTACTCGAGTGCCAAATTTTCCAGCATTTGTACTACCACTGTATTATTGTTTTGGAATGGTCTTGGAGCTTGTTGTTCTTTTCTTTTTGTTTGGTATTATTTTTGTAAGCATCTATTAAAGATATTATCAAAAGAATAAGCAAATGTTGAAAATAAAGCACAAAGTAAAGAATTTAGATGCTGCTTATATGAATTTAATGGATTGCAATTTGTATTTTTTTTCCTTTTTGTTTTTGCAAAGGCGAGGTTTGTTGGCCGTGAATGATTGGTGAATGGGGATTCAGACAATGACATCTCAAGGTAACGGCCAACAGTCTCATTTTCAGCCTGCCCCGTTGGCAAGGCAGAACTCATGGTATAGCCTGACTCTAGATGAAGTTAATAACCACCTGGGAGACGTGGGAAAACCGCTCGGAAGCATGGATCTGCATGAGCTTCTTCAAAGTTTATATACTTCTGAGGCAAAGGAAGTCGCCGGGAGGGATGTGGAGAATACTTCTGCATCATCGTCACTCCAACGTCAGGCCAGTCTAACATTAGCTAGAGCTTTGATTGGAAAGACCGTCGATGATGTGTGGAAAGAAATCCAACAAGGGCAGAAGAAGAGATACAATGAGGATGTGAAGGTTCAAGATAGAGAGCCCACACTTGGTGAAACGACTTTAGAAGACTTCCTTGTACAAGCAGGGCTTTTTGCCGAAGCTTCTTCATGTCCTGCAGTGGGATTAGATTCCATTGATGCAATGACCCCGACCCCACAGAGTTATCCTCATAAATTTGGGTTGTCATCCTCCCCTTCAATCGGTGCATTATCAGATCCAACCACACCAGGGCGGAAAAGAGATGCATCAGATGCATATGAGAAGACCGTGGAGAGGAGACTTAGGAGAAAAATCAAGAACAGGGAATCAGCTGCGCGTTCACGAGCTAGAAAACAGGTATCTTTCATTCTCTGTGTTTGTTTTACTTTTTCTAATTAATTATTATTTTTCTCTTTGTTGCTTTTATTAATCAAAATCCTTTTGCCTACATTAGGCATACCACAATGAGTTGGTCAACAAGGTTTCGCGCCTAGAAGAGGAGAACTTAAAGCTCAAGAAAGAGAAGGTGAGAGATTTTTCATAGTTTTCATTAGTTTGTTTCATATAAAGAATCTTTGAGTTCCGATCTCTGGTGGCTATGGTTTCTCACGAGTGACAAGTCCATGAATGTTTAGCTTGATACAGTGATTCATTTCTCATTGTATAGATAACCATTTTTGATAAATTAGACGTGCACGCATTTTTTAGCATGTGATGGGAGCATTTGATGGCTAGGTTCAGATAAACATACTTTCGATTCAACAGTATTGTAAGAAATGCACTAGGACTTGTACGCTAGGACATTTTGGCTTGGAGATGTGGGAACTAGAAAGATGTATGGTAGGTACTGCAGTATGATTACGGAGAATAGTAGTTCTTCATAGACATCGATGCTGAAGATATTTCAAGAATTTGAACTGGATCTTTCACTTTAGGCAACAGAATATGAAATAGGTGAAGGTAAATTCGTTAGTCTAGGTTGACTGTTTTTATCTGGCAAGCAAAAAACTGGAAGGAAAAGAGAGAGAGAGAGAGGAAAAAGATGAGGGGAGAATAACTGAGATCAATTGGATTGCTGAACAAACACTGGGAACGTGTGCTAATAAAATCTTCTTAAACGCAAATAGAGATTAAAAAAAAAAATTAACTACACTCGAATGTCTGCATCTTTTGGGTCTCCCAAAGAGATAATATGGATGGTTATTGAAAAATAGATCAAGCTCAGTAAAGTCACTTTTGGATAAGTGTTCATGGGAATTTGTCCAAAAGAATTCTTGATTTATCAGTTTTTGGAAAAAGTGAAACCATTCATATTGTGAAGTAAGTTCGTAGGATTTTAGGAAACATTAAGTTCTCAAGGACAATTATAAAGTTAATAGTTATGGTATTAACTTTATATTTTTTGTGTATATTCCCTCGGCACATTGAACTTTCGCCGAGGCATTTTTACTGCCGTACATATATTACCTTTCAGATTGAGTTTACATCTCAAATACATGGGGCGGCAAGGCTCTGTAACCTTTTTCTTCTCATCAGTACTTTTCAAAAGCAACTTTGTTTTCTTAGGAGAGAAACAACTGCGGTCTGTATCCTTTTAGGTAACACTTAAAAGCCTTTTCCTGCCAGGAGGATCAATATGTTCTGTACGCAAAACAGATTATTAAATTCATCATCTTTTTGCAACCGGAGCAACTGAAATATAGTGATGAACTGTCCCAAGGGGCATATTCTATCATAGGCACTTGACATTTCGGCAATTTTTGGTGCTTGTAGAACAAGTGAAGTATAGTTTTTTACATTACTCTTGTTGCAGCTTGTGCTTTTAGGAATACTTGTATGATTCTCATTGGCCTCAAACTTTAGTACTTTGAAACGAGACATAGTTATTTCAGCTTTCTTTTTTTCTTTTTTCTTTTTTTTTTTTTTTTTTTGAAATGTGTGAAAACTATGCCATTCTAGTCAAGTGTAGCACTAACTTGAAAAAGTCTGAGTCTGTAAGTATTAGTCTGTAATGTGCTCGTGTTTCTCGGCTTTTTCACATTTTTATTTCTGCATGCCTGGCATCGTCTTCAGTAGAAAGACTTCCAATCTGCAAGTGATGTCACTTTGAATTGATGGACCTAATTTTATAATTCTAGGTAGATTGCCATTGGCCATAAAGTCTCAGTTGTATCCTTTATGGATGTTATTTCGACATAAATCACTGTATTGTGCATATCTTGCCGTAAAGTTTCTTTAAGTTAACTAGTTATTTTCAACTTGTATAATAGGGAATTTGAAGTCTTTTGTGTTATAATATGTTCACTTTAATCTTAAAAACAACGAACAATAAACAAGGGTTGCGAGTTCTTCTACCGCTCCTACTAGATTTGCCTGCTATAATTATGTCCTTATTTTTCTTTGTTTCTACTGTTTTAGGAATTTGAGAATGTGTTCCCATGCGAATCCTCTTCCGAACCAAAATACCAGCTTCGAAGAACAAGTTCGGCATCTTTTTGACTCGTAACTCGAACCAATGCGTTTATGATATTGGATTCATGGTGAAACTGCTATGGAATCTCATCATCAAGCTGCTTGTTCATTCCGCTGCTGATATAGTTCTTCCCATGCACTGCTAGAGTTTGTGTGTTCTGTACATCTATGTTTAACTAGGAATACATACAGCAGCAAAAGTGCCATGTTGATAGGTTTTGGTTCGGTTTTGCTGGAAAATTATTTTAGGAAAGACTTGGGTGCATGGTATAAGTCGGTGCTTTGTTAATATTCTAATGTGGGTTAGCCATGATAGTTCCATGTTACAAAGTTCCCTGGATAGTTAAGTTTGTGGCTTCCCAAATTGAAAGAAAGAAATCTTGAATATTTTTAAGCTTTTAATTTAATCATCTAAGGAAATTATTCTTAATTGAAATTTGTATTCTTGCCATACTTTCTGTTCATGGATTACACCAAATCATCATGTGAGTGTTACATTAGCTTGAAAAGGAAAAAAAAGTTGAACAATGATAATAATAATGTATATGAGCTGACAGAAGGTGAATTGACATGAATTTTTATATTCCATTCCTCTATGGAATATTTTAAAAAGGTGAATTTCGTGAGACAAATGAGAGAGTTATGAGATTTGAATTTGGAAGTATTTGTTTTGATTAATTACGCCACAATCCAAAGCCAAATTTTGGCATTCGATAACAAAATCAATGTTTGGTACAGTGACATTTTTATTGTTAAAATTTGACATGTCACACTGGTGTTAAATTTAATCCTGAGTCAAACAAATAACATATGAAATGCATTGTGCATTAGTGTATAAAGTATAAAATAGAACATTTTACCCAAAATAAATTCTAGTTTTAGAAATAATCATGGGATAAAGATTGAAGAATGCCATCTAAATTTGAGTCTGTTTAGTTCGCTGATTCGAGTTGAAATGTGAGTTTATGTAAAAGCTTTTTACTGTAGTAAAAAAGTTAAATGTGACTGTTTTTAAGAGTTTTTTACTGTAGTAAAACTTAAATTTTAAACTCGAATCGGTGAAATGAACAGGTCTTATACTTTTTCTCTTCAAGAGATGGGAATTCCAATGTGCCGAGAGCGTAGGTTGTCTTTTCAATTCTGGATCATTCAAATCTACGTAATACAAGCCATAATCAGATTCATAACCGTTCAACATCTCCAACAAATCTTAAGAAGGACCATGTGAAATATCCTTTCACGTTCGACCCATTCCTTGCAAGTTTAAACAAAAGGAAGCCAAACAAACACAACAAAGAAAAATAAAAATGTCAAACTCTACTCACATAACATAAAAGAAAATAGTAATTGTATAACAACAAAGGAAACTTAAAAAAACAAAAACAAAAACAAAAAACAAAAAATAAAGACCGTGTTTGGAATTGATCCAGTTTTTATTTTTTACGTTTTTCGAGAAAGAAAAAATGAAAACGTTTTTAAAACGGCGTTTGACACAATAAAGACAATAAACGGAAATGAAAACGATTTTTTGGTTTAGTGTAAAATGAGAGAAAAATGAAAAACGACTTTTAGTCGTTTTTCGGGCTCGTTTGTTTGCGTTTTCGTTTTCGTTTTTCACGGTTTTCAAAGCAAAAAAATGAAAACGGGTGTTAAAAACGTGTTTGGTGCAATTTTTTTTAAAAAACAAAACCAAAAACGTTTTTGTCTTTTTGTGGAAATCAGAAAACGAAAAAAATGTGTTTTCATTTTCTTGTTTTCGTTTTCTGTTTTCTGAAAAACGGATTTCACTTTTTTTTTTCTTTTTCATTTTCTTCCCTCTTTTCTGAAACCGTTTTTGTATTATATATGTTTATTTAATATATTTATTTAATATATTATTATTTAATATATTTAATAATATTATTTATATAATATATTTAATAATATTATTTATTTAATATATTTAATATATTATTTATTTAATATATTTAATAATATTATTTATTTAATATATTATTACATGTTTTCAAAAATTAAACCACCAAACGCAGTTTCAGTTTTTTTTAAAACTGAAATCAATCTCTAAATAAAACTACCAAACGCATTTTTAGAAATAATTCAAAAATGAAACTAAAAACGTTTTCATTTTCATTTTCGTACAGAAAATAAAAACGTTTTGGAACTAATTCCAAACGCACCCTTCATTTTTTGTTTTTATTTTCTCCTCTCTCGAGCAGAGAGAGAAAGAGAGACATTAATATGTTTTTTTTACACTGAAAATAATCTCTTGATAAAACCATCAAACGCATTTTCAAAAATGATTTCTGTCTGAGATTGAAAACGTTTTCATTTTCATTTTCATACAAAAAATAAAATCATTTTGAAACGAGTTTCAAACACGCCCAAAAAAATTCCTCTATGGAATCTTTATTTTATTTTATTTTTTTTTAGAAAAATAAGTATCGGAAACTTTAGTATACAGGTTTAGTGGAATGAGCATAGAGGAACACTATAAACATTTATGTACCCAAAAAAAAAAAGACTACTACAAACATAACTCAAAAACTACACTAAAAAAAAAACAACCCCTGAGTCACCCCACAGTACATACTTCATCTTATACCAATAGTACCGTGCAACACTTTTACAAGTATTGAATGACGGTTTATGAATTTAGATTGTCGGAATTTTTATTATTTGATCCCCTAATAAAAATAACTCAAATTTCATCGTGTTTTCACTTATCCATTATTCAACGTATGATAAATTGCATGCACAATACATCCAGAAAAGGACGGGTCGCAATACAGATATAGCTTTAAATATTTTTTTCTGTGGCGTTGATCGTGTTTGGAATTGATCCCGTTTTTATTTTTTATGTTTTTTGAGAAAGAAAAAATGAAAACGTTTCTAAAAAATGAAAAGTAAAACGGCGTTTGGCGCAATAAAGACAAAAAACAGAAATGAAAACGATTTTTTAGTTTAGTGTAAAATGAGAGAGAACTGAAAAACGATTTTTAATCGTTTTTTATTTTTTGTTTTCGTTTTCTCCTCTCTCGAGCTGAGAGAGAAAGATATACATTAATGAGTTTTTTTATACTGAAAACAATCTCTTGATAAAACTATCAAACGCATTTTCAAAAATAATTTGTCTGAAATTGAAAACGTTTTCATTTTTATTTTCATATAAAAAATAAAATTATTTTAAAATGAGTTCCAAACACGCTTGTTGTGTTCATCCAATGAATTTTTTGTAAAACCCTTTTAAAATAGTGTCATGAGAAGAGAGAGAGAGACTGATCTTACCACTTTCATGGATATAAATAAGAGGATTGTTATGATGTTGCTTTATATACTCGAGAATTCCTGTCAGACCCCAGGGTGTGATTGGATACTGCATCAAACTAGAGAAACAATGACATACAAGAATTACCAGACACAAATCAACCAACAAAAAAAGGTTTATTATTCGGTTTTTTACCTCAAATATTGACGGGTCATTTTGCACAGCTGCCAGCAAAAAAAAAAAAAAAAAAAAAAAAAAAAAAGAACAGCTTCAATGAGTCAACGATTCTACTGAAAATCTATTGAAATTAAATAGTGTTTGAACCTCAACTCACTGATTGATTCATTGAGAGAGAGAGTACTGAACTTCGAGAATTCGATCAATAGAGCTCAGTTTTAAACTATCAAATTTGTAGCTATCTGTTTTGCGTGCTTTTTATTTGACGTAATTTTTTTACCAGATCTAACATTTAGAAATGTGCAAAGTCAATTTTTTTCCCCTACAATTATGTCATGACATCCAAGTTACGTTTATGCGAAAGAGGCATACGATATAGCTTTACTCCCATGTCCGCAATGACGTCCCTGTTTTCTGACTGAATGGTGCTAGACTTGTCCTTAACATCACATTGTAATAATTCAATCCTAAAAATTCGAAGGAACCCAACCCCTAATGAGGGCGGATTCCTAAAAAGTTTGGAGTTTTTCTATAAGTGGTTGGAACCATATTTTTAAAAGAGCTAAAATAGGTTAATATGATTTTTTTAAGTTTTTAATAAGCAATGAAAATATTAGAATGAAGTTTAAAATATTGTGCAAGTTTTAAAATCTATTGAAAAGAGTAGTTTGAGAAGTCATATTTTGTGATTTTGATTAGAAACTCTTCTAAAAAGTTAAAAACTTTGCTAACAGGTCATTTAAACACTTCTAAAAGAGATTTTAAATCTAAAAAACTAAAAATAACTTTTAAGAAGCTCTTGCAAACGTACCCAAAGACTACTTGGGTAAAGATAAAATAAAAATGAAAAGTAGTAACATGTAACTTACCAAACAATATAAAAGTCATTTGCTCTTTGAGTAGCAATTTTATCTTCATTGCTGTCTGTTAGAGGGATAAACCAATAAGCAAAGATATTGATTCCTACAAATCCCTGTTGCTTGTCCTGCATTGACCCACACATTTATTTTAATTTTGTGAGATATACAATATGTGCTTGTAAATTTCTAAATACAAATCCCTGATGCTTGTCCTGCATTCACCCACACATTTATTTTAATTTTGTGAGATATACAATATGTGCTTGTAAATTTCTAAATTCTTATAATCAGATCAACCAGTCTCTAAGACTCTTTATATTTTTCTCTAACATAATTTCTAATTTCAGCATGACGACCAACATTCAGAGCGATAACTAGGCTCCACATACTCAACAATCGCCCACTTTAACTTTTAAAAATATAAAGAAATAAAAAACTTAGGCCTAGTTCATTTTACCGATTTGAGTTTAAAATTTGAGTTTTGCTACTGTAAAAAGCTCTCAGAAACAATCACATCTAACTTTTTTACTACAGTAAAAAATTTTCATATAAAGTCACATCTCAACTCAAATCAGCGAACTAAAGGCCCTTAGAGATTACCTTGTAGTTTTTCTCATACAATCTAGCAACTGATGCATGTGCCAACAACATATGATGAGCTGCAGTGTATGGCTCAGTCGAGGAGTTGCCCGTGGAGCAGTCACCAACTCCGAGTGGACGCGAACATAGTTTAGGTGGTAGAGATCCTAGATCATAACCCCCTAATAAAAACACATTGGCCTCGTTTATAGTAGTCCAATGTTTAACTCTATCACCAAACTCTCTGAAGCACACATCTGCAAATTCTCTGAAGTCTTTCTTACAACCACACAACACGTTATTCGATCATGTCAATCGCTCAGTTTTGTACTGTCAGCGTGAAATTTACCAGCTATAGCTGAAGAAACATACATAAATTTTCGACTAACCCATCCTCCATACTCGTCTTCTAGTACCTGTGAGAGGTCAGAATGGTGTAGTGTAACATGTGGTTGGATTCCTGAGAAACAAGGAAGTTTTAGCATTATGTTTTCTGTATCTAAAGAGAAAAGTTAAAAAGAGAAATAATCATCCTCGTATACCCTATAGTTTTCAACTTTATTATATTATTACTTTGATATTCCCAAATCCGATGATTTTTTTTTAGTCTAATAAATAACAAGAAAAAAAACAACAAAATTTTAAGAAAGTACTAAAAAAATAAAATGCTAAAACAAAGAAGTTCTCCTTGCCTCCCTGCTTTATCTTTTTTTATTAAGTTTGTTAACTTAAGTCTAATACTTGTAATAAGTGTAATAATGTTTTTATTAGTTTTTAGTATTGTTGAGTTGGCATATAGTAGCTGTGTAGTTTGTTAGGATCAACAGAATTAGTTTTCGCTAGTTTTACTTGTCTTTTTCTTTTCGGTTATTCAAGAGCTGTATATAAGCTTCTTTTGTATTCAGTTGAGAATAAGAAATGAGATTAATCTTTTCTCAATTTTCATTTTCTTCATCATAATATTTTTCTTTTTTTCCTTGTGAATTTTTTTTCCTCTCGTCATTAATATTTTTAGGCTAAAAATGGGAGAAAGGCCATGGCATGCCCCAAAAAACTACCTTGATGCTTTCAGATGATTTTTTTTTTTTTTTGAAAACTAAAGGTACCCTGAAAGGGTTATGACAACACAAAGATACCAACCTGATAAAGTCGAAAACTACAAATACGAAATATGATAATTTCCCAAAAATATAAAAGTATTCAATGTATCATGTATTGGTAGTGACCATGGTTGACTAATTCATTGATAAAGTTGTTGTAGTATTGCAAACCCTAAGGATTTAGAGATCCTCTTCCGTCTGCAGAACAAAGGATGGTCAAAATGTTAGAAGAAATCGACCTTGTTCTTGATTTCTTGTAATACAAGTAATTAGCTGCGGTGATCATACTTGGGATAAGCCTTGACCATGAAATAGAGAATCTGAATGCATCTAAACCTGTCTTGACAATGAGTTGAACATCTTCCTGCAAGTGAAATTCTATGAGCCAAATCAGCCTAATTAGCTTTTAGATGTGATCACATAGGAGTGAAAATGAAGTTAAATATATTCTTTACAATAATAAAAAATACAGATTAATTGACCTTTATCAATGACTAGAGAACGGCCAGGGAATTTGACCCTAAGAGACGGGAGAGCCTATCAGATAGCGCAATTAGTACGGGCATTGAAAGGGAATTGGACTAAAATTCTTAAATTGTGACGTGGTAGCTGGCGGCAATATTAGAGAGCCCGGTGACGTTGGTGGAGTCTCCGGAAGAGTTACTTTTTTGTTTAACAGCCCGCTCCACCCCAGAAACGACTTAACGGTAGGGTCCAACGGCTAGAAGTGCACCGTACATCGCGCGGTTTCCGATGTGCCCCTATCGCGCATGCCACTTTATTAGAACAAAAAGAAAATTCTTTTCAAAAGAAGACCAAAACAAAAATATAAGACATCGTTCATTTCACCGATTCGAGTTTTTAATTTTAGATTTTTACAGTTAAAAGCTCTATGAAAATGTTACATCTAACTTTTTCTACTACAGTTAAAAGCTCTAAAAAAATATCACATCTCAACTTGAATTAAAAACTCAAATCCGCGAAGCGAACGAGGCTTAAAAGAAAAAAGGAAAGGACATTTTATTTATTTGTAATTTAACAAACTCAATGACTCAAACTAGAGATATTCTGCACATACTAAAATAACTAAACCTCAATCAACATGCTGCTTATTCGTGTGTGTGGGTGTGGATTGAGAAGACAAATATTACATAGAGATTTTTTGTAAAAATATTATTGTGTAATTTAAGTTTATAGTTGTTCTCTTTTATCATTTTATGTAAAGCATTTTTGTAAAAATATAATTATAATTTAAAAGAGCGTGTGAATAGAATATTTATTGAGATAAATATTGACCTCATTTAATTTATAAATTTAAATTTTTAATTTAAATTAAGATATAATTATATGAGAATTTTTTACCATAAAAAAAATTAAAAATCACTTTTTATAAAAATTTTAACTATAATAAAATTAAAATTAAAATTTTAAATTAATAAAATGAATGAAAAATTCTCATGTACATTACATGCGATGTCTCCAGTGGCTCCATTCATATATGATAATATTTAAATATGAGTCAATAAAGTACATATGTTAAAAAAATCACTCAAGTACATCAACATGTGGACAGATGTTTTTTCTTAAAAAAAGTACATGTTGGGCTGTTGGCGATTGCAGTTTAAAAAAAGTTATTTTCAATAACTTTTCTTTCTTTTATGGAAAAGATAATTTTCCCGCGCAATCTATTTTTTTAATTAAAACGATTTGCCCAGAAACTTGTGCGTTCCTAAAATGGCAAAGAGATAAATTTCCATGACAAAGGCAGATCTCCCAGGATTTTCTCACCTAGCATCCACGGATGAATTCTTATTGTCCAAAGCGGGGTTAAATTATGCCAAATATGTTTTGGGTTAACGTAACTTTAAACTCCCAAAATACTAGTTGACAAAAATAGGATCAAATTTCTATCCATTCTACCTCTAGATCTTTTTATTTTAACAAAAAAAGAAGAAAAAAAGTGTCTTTTTCTGTGAAGATCTCTATACTAATATAACCAATATTTTATCCTTAGATCTAATAAAAAATCATGTCAAATTAAAAGTATGCATAACTCATGATATATAGATCTAAAAATACCCTTTTTAGAAGTTCATTTTTTCAGACTCTAAGATAAATCTCTCTAAAAAAATAAAAGGGACAAACAAAAAAACAAAAACAAACCATCAAAGACAAAGTATCTCATATGTTTAGATTCCATTCATTTCATCAATTTTAATTTAAATTTTAAATTTTACTACAATAAAAAATTTTCACAAATAATCACATTTAATTTTTTTATTATAATAAAAAACTTTCAAATAAAATCATTTCTTAACTCGAATTAGCGAACTAAACAGACTTCAGAGTCCTCCCCATCTTGGTTTGCAGCGCCCTCCATCTGCTCGACACAAAACAAAACACAAAATCACCGCAAACCCAAATCCTTAAAATCCCAAAACTCAATGAAAACATCATTATTGATCAATGTTTCTACGTTTAGAAATTGCCATATTGAAATGCGCATTGATCAAAAAATGGACCTGATAAACCGAGGAAGCAGCACCAAACACAAACCCAGATGGGAAATCATCACTGCAAAGCTCATAAGAGTAAATAGTAAGAAAGAGATGCCCCAACTCTAATTCCACTCTGCAAAAAATTTGTTAAAAATTAATGACAAAACCTTGCAGAGGCAGAGATTCAAGTTGTAATTTCTTCTCTCTCTCTCTCTCTCTCTCTCTCTCTCTCTCTCTCTCTCTCTCTCTCTCTCTCTCTCTCAGTTTGTGGGTACGTATAAAAGGAAACTATGAGATAAGATTTTGTTTTGTTGAGTCGTTTAAAAAGAATATGCTATGTTATTTACCTTACGCCAAACATTTAGCAGTAAATAACAACTATGTTATTTGCTTCAGTCGTTTAAAAAGAATATGCTATTTACTTTTGAAATATTGTGTTGGTGTCTTTATCCTAGAATTTGAGAAAACTAGGCTATTTAGCGCACTTATGAGAGGAGGCCATGGATTATTACGGCTTTGCATTTATACCTTTAATAATCGTCACTTTCACGAGTTAAAAGTCCATATTACCACTTGTGTACATTAAGTAACTAAAATAAATCAATGGTCTATTATATCTTTGAGTAAACCATTGATTTAAAGTAGGAAAAAAAAAAAAAAAACTCTCCATACAAAGAACACGTATTAAAGAACTAACGTAAATCATTGGTCTACTTTTCAGTAAAATAATGGGCGCACTTAGAACTCGTTCTAAAATAATTTTATTTTTTGTATGAAAATAAAAATGAAAACGTTTTCAATCTCAGACAGAAATCATTTTTAAAAATGCGTTTGGTAATTTTATCAAGAGATTATTTTCAGTGTAAAAAAATCTATTAATGTCTCTCTCTCTTTCTCTATGCTCGAGAGAGGAGAAAACGAAAACAAAAAATGAAAAACGACTAAAAGTCATTTTTCATTTCTCTCTCATTTTATACTAAACTAAAAAATCGTTTTTATTTCCGTTTTTTATTTTTATTGCGTCAAACGCCGTTTTAAAAACATTTTCATTTTTTCTTTATCAAAAAAACGTAAAAAAATAAAAACAAAATCAATTCCAAACACGGCCAATGTTTTAAAGAAAAAGATTTCTACTCAAAACACAGATCTCACATGAGGGGAGGCTTTGCGGTGGCTTCCATGGTGTGGAAGGAAGGAAGGGGATTTGGGCAGCGACATCGTGGTAGGGGGCAAAGATCCAATGTGGATTGCAACATCGGATCTTGCCGCCACTACGACTCGTGGAGGTGTCACCGCAATTTTGACAAAATAAGAAACTTGAGGAATGCCACAAGAATTAAACATGTTACGATTTTTGCCACTCCAATTCCACAGGATTTGAATTTCTGCCACTCCAAAAAGATAAAATAAAGTGGCAGAAATCCTAACATTAATCTCAAGTGGAGTTTTTTATATGGCAAACAAAAAACCAATACATAGCCCAACGAAACACCCTCACATGGTAAACTCTTACACAAATGCACTCCCCTTGTGAGGCTTTGAAGCCACAATCCGAAATAAAATAATACAAAGTAAATATACATGTTGACAAGTGACTAAAGGGCATGCCTAGTTAATCACATAAATCCCTTTTGAAGGAAGGAGAGGAGAATAACTCTTATTTACATAAGAGTATATGATACACTATATATGATTACATTGTATAACAAAGCAAACCACATCTGCAGAGCCAGCAGTTGTGTGTGTAACGTTTCTTCTACAAAGTGGATATCTTTTTTCCTACCCATGTATAGCAGTTTGAAAAATGCAATTTAATGGACAAAAGGGAAACAAGACTAACACCAAATATGCATGAGTGTTTATATTATCCTGTGAGGATGATTGGAATGTTTCACCCAAGCATGGTTCAGCCTAGAATCTTTGGTGCTCGAAACATCTCTCGACGTATGGAGCTGTTCCAATTTCGCTAGAACATCAACCATTAGCGGTCTGTTCTTTGGATCCGTGTGTAGGCACTGCACGGCGAGTGCAGCTGCGGCTTGAGCTGCTTTTTTGGAGTACTGACCCCCCAATCTGGTGTCCATGATCCTTAATACTCGTCTAGCATCACTCAAGAAGGGCTTTGCCCAATCAACCAGCGTGTCTTCGATGCCAACCGCTTTCTCATCATCCATTGCCCGTCTTCCACATAGCAATTCTAGCAATACCACGCCGAAGCTGTACACATCGCTCTTTGGAGTCAAGTGACCTGCACTTTTGAAACCCGATTTCATCAGAAAAAGAAACCTGTCCCGGGCTCATATACTTTCTAAATTGAAAAGAAATTATAACAGCTTTGGTTTTTTCCATTTTCTGGTTTCTTATTCCTTTTTGTCTTTTCTCAATTTTATCTGGGAAAATATCTTTTTAAGTAATACATCAAATATTTGAAAGTTGACACTTACCGGTGGCTATATATTCTGGCGCAGCATACCCTCGAGTTCCCACAACTCTGGTTGAAACATGAGTATTATCACCTGTGGGACCATCCCTTGCTAAGCCAAAATCCGAAAGTCGGGCACTGAAATCCTATAAAAGTCATTCACAACTCTATTAGCCAAATGAATTTCATGTACAGTTGCTGCAATTGAATAACAGATGCTAAAATGTTCCTATATATACCGAATCAAGCAGAATGTTTGAAGCTTTTAAATCACGGTAGATAACATTAGCATCTAAGCTATGCAAAAACGATAATCCTCGCGCAACATCAATTGCAATGTTCATACGCAAGTTCCACGAAATAGGCTGAACACCTTCTGCACGAAAGGAAAAACTATGGTGATATACAAACCTTATAGAAGTTGTATTAAACGTCAGCGCTACCTTTCATTTTCCCTCACTCAAAAGTTTACACAAAAAAAAAAAAAGAAAAAGAAAAACGCGCACACACACACTCAAGTTCTTCATTCCATAGATGGATAATGCATCAAGGAAGCCATTCCGTATAGCTCAGATAGCGTAGCAAAACTGAACAAATCTCATCCCAGTTATACGTCTTATATAGAATTATGGAGATTATGATATTAATTAGTTTGAATAATTAGTTTTAACTTAATTAGAGATTTATGTTGCATTATCAAGTTTCCTTATTTCATTTTTATTTAGTTTCCTAATTTGTTATTTTGTTTGCCTATAAATATGGTAGTTTGAAATTTCAGTACAGAGTAATGGTTGATCAATGAGCATTGAGATTATTGATTTTCCTCCTCTTGAGTTATTTTTCTCTCTTTAGAATCCTTTGTTTTCTCTCTTTTGGTTCTATTGTTCATTAGTCTCTTGTATCTATTCCTCAATTTTGATTCTCTCTCTCCTCTCTTGGTCCTACATCATAACTCATAAGAAACATAGCAAACCTGCCTTGAGAATCATCCCAGAAATTAAACGTTCTTTTAGACAAAGGAATCGCAATGCATACTTATCCGGATATTTCGTTGAAGTAGACAAGTTAGACAAAATTTGTCTACTTTCCGATAGAGGAAGTTTATTGGCTAAAATAAAAAAATATGCTGAATCAAATACTATGCTAGTAATGGGAGAACACAGAATACTTGATAAACTTAATTGCTTAGTGAAACACCTTTGCTCTAAGGGCAGAGTTTCATGAAGTATGAAGCCAAATGAAAGTAGGCAACCTATTCTAAGATAGATCCTTCGGATGCAAATGAGTTGATCGGAGATGGGTGGGACGGGCTGTACCTATATAAAGCTTAGCAGAAAATAACAAGTGCTGAAAGAGAAAATGAAGAAGTGAATCGTTTTAGAGCCTCTCTTTTCTAAGCATATGTGTTTCCTGTTAGGTTAGGGATACTGAATCGCAATTGCATACTTCAATACATTATGGCATTATTACTAATGCATTTTATTTGAGAAGGGAATTGCTAGCCAAGCTGCTGTTTCTCTGTATGACTATATGTGACATAAAAATGAAAGAAATATAGAAATTAACTACTCAAATAATCAAAGAAAATACAAGAGAACGAAAAAGGAAGCTCCTTTATACTCACTTCTAAACAAATGATTTTCCAAACTTCCTTTAGGCATATACTCATAAACAAGAAGTCTGTTATCAGACTCGGAGCAGTAACCAATGAGTTTCACGAGATTTTTATGGCGAAGCTGACCCAGATAATTCACTTCCGCCTGCAAGTCGAGGACAGATTCAAGTTCATATAATAAGGAGAACAAGCAAAGGAAAAACCAAAGAAGAAAACTTGGGATCGGCAGTACACATACAAGCCATTCCTTGTGGCCCTGAAAGCTTTCTCGTTTGAGCCTTTTGACAGCGACCACTGTCCCGGTTCCTCGTTTCGCAGGAGCTAATGTGTTCTCGTCGATCCATCCCTTGAAAACCCAGCCAAACCCTCCCTCTCCAAGTAAGCTATCTGACTTGAAGTTCCTCGTGGCATTTTTGAGATCAATGAAAGCAAAGGACTTAAGCGTGTTGGGAACAGACGTATCGACTTCGGTTGAGATTAGTCCTCGTAGGGGCTTGTCCTCACTCGGCGGTTTTGAATCCAACTTAACATTGCTACTAGTCTTTGTACTTTCTGCCAGAAACCAATAACTAATAATAACCAACATGATTTTACACACTCATAATAATATGATTATCGGAACCGTTAGAACACTAACGTTAATTCTTTGTTAAAGGTCAACAGGAAAACATGGTTCTACCACATCACGTTGAACTAAAACTTATTGCAACAGCACTTATACAACCTAAGCATGTTGTCATTCATATAGGAATCATCAAACAACCATGGTTTTGAACCTATTGTTGAAGAATAATTTTAAGTGGTAAATTCTCAGTAAGAATAGCTCCAGAATGATGTCTTTGGTACACCAGTTAAAGAGATAAATGGCAGAAGAGAAATTAAGCAGATAAAGTGAAATGTCTTTACTACCCTCAACAAAAAGAACATGATTGAAATTGAAGCTAAAGTTTCAATTTAAAATTTCATCCAGAGAAAGAAACCAAAAAGAGGTCCTTTAAAAAAAAAAACAAAAACGAGGTGCAAATTGTCCTCCAAACAAGAACAGCAACACAACAAAATTCATCAAACATTTATGGACCAACCCTTTAATTATAAAAAGGATTCCAAAAAAAAAAAAAAAGTCAAATGTCTTTGCAAGAAAATTATTACATTTAACTCATTTCCAATCAAGAACAATTATAACACCAGATTCAGCACCCAAAAAAAAAAAAAGATTCAGCAAAAATATATAGAACCTCAAAAGTTGACATAAAAAAAAATATATATTTTTTGGGGAGAAGAAAAGAAAAGAGATTTTTGTTACCAAAAAAGTTGATGGAAGAAGCATGGGCACACTTGGCAGGGTGTCTAAAGCAATTTCCCATCTCAGAGAAGAAAAGAGAAGAGCTCAGGAGAATTCCCAGAAAATTAGCAATGAATCTTCAAAATAAAAAAACCCATGAAAAATCTGAGAAGAAAAATGAAACCCACTTGGTGGAAACGAATTTAAGCAAGAGTAAATGTCTAGCATAAAAAAAAAAAGGGTCGTCGTGATGGGCCATTGATGATAGAATACTCTGCTTCTTAATTAGCTTTTAGTCAATGGACGAATTCAGACGTTGAACAGTAATGAAAGAAATTTCAGCTTGTTCGGATAACGATAAATACACTCAGAATTATTCAAAGCCCCAGGCTAATTAATTAATGGGGTCTTAGTTTACCCCTTTTTTTAACGGAAACTATATTCCAAATCATGGACAAACAATAAGGATTCTTAACGGCTCTTCATTCGAGTTATAATTTTATTTAAATTTATATTTTTTTATAAAATTTGAGTTTTAATTTAAGTTTGAGATTAAAATTTAAGGTTAAATTTTTCCTTTAATTTAAATTTTTAAACTCAAACTCAAGTTAATAAATAGTATTTTTCTATTTTTAAAAATATCATAACTTTTTCGTTTTAATTCCGATTGAGATGATTTTTTTTCTATGCATTCACAATGAATAGACGAATAAAACTCCACCTATATACCCTATTAAAATTTTTCATCACCATTGAATTTTTATTAAAATACTATCCAAATACAAATTCAAGTTTTGACACACCCAAATACAAACTCAAATAACTTCTCAATTCAAACCATAACTCAAAATGTGCACATCCAAACACAAACTCAAATTAGAGTTTCAACTCAAACCATACTCAAATATACATTAATTCAAATCAAACTCAAAAAATGCAAATGAACAAGCTCAAATTTGAGGAGGGGGTCAATTCTAAAATAGAGGATTTGAATTAGGGGTTTTTATTGTTCTCATTAAATTATCTACTAAATATCAATTTGAATCTTAAACTACAATTTGAATTGAATTTTTAGGTTCAAATGGTTGCAACTAAGACTGTTCGTGGTTTTGATCGATCCGACCACGCCGCTTTTTAAAAAATTAAAACCGAAACCAAACTGAAGAGGAGAGACTTCAGTCGGTTAACCACCCAAACCATGGCCGATTTCCGGTGGTCGATTCCAACAAAACTAAAGTTTATTAAAAAAAAATTAAACTACATTTTTTTTCATCAATTTCAACTATTAATATAGTCAAAATTAAGAGAAAAAGAACTTTTGTTGAAGCCCATCTAAAAATAAGGCATACAAAATATAGTGTGAGGCCAAGAAAAGACTCACTTCTTTTATATAGAGTAGTTGAAGTAGTATTTTTTCATCTCTTCTCCATGTGGGACTCTTGCAACTTCAATTGTTAGTTGTCAAAGTCTAAAAAGCGTAAAATGTTAATAAATATTATTGAGACCATAATGATACTAATAAGGATAATGTGGTTTAGTGGTTAATTGATGGTCTTCTACCCTCTAGGTTAAAGGTTCAAACCTCCACTTGTATAAATCTCATTTTTCTAAGTGTGTAATAGTGGTCGGATGGTTGACCGATCGATAGTAATCGGTTTCACTTTTGATCGGTTTGTTTTAGTCGGTTAGCGGTCGGTGTCAGTTTCACAGTTGAACAACTCTAGTTGCAACAAACATGGGCAACGACTAGTACAAACTCAAATGACCTCGTTGACACAAGGAAACTAAATTCCAACCATAGACCGGTTCCACTAGTAACTTCTAATGAAATGGACAAGGGGATAAAATGAGCACTAAGTTCCCATAATGAAAAACTAAAAAGACACACAATTAATCGAGCACACATACGACTCTTTCAACAATTCCTTTATGATCGAAGTAGAACTTTAATCGGTTGAGACCAAGAAACTAGTAGCACTACAGTCACCCGCAATATTGTAAGAATCAACATTAGTGAGTTGGACTCAGAAACTAAGCCAAAGAGTCAGGAAACCATCTCTGTTATTAAATATGAAAACAAAAGCAAAACAGGAAACAAAACTTATGAGGCAAAAAAATTATCGGCTTTAATTTACAAAAAAAAAAAAAAAAAAAGGAACTAAAGCCCCAACACAATAAGAGCCTCCGGAGCTAATATGATCACCGCGAATAGAGAGACTAGAGCAGACGATCCTGCAAAGGGCTAAAAACACCATAGAAAGATTATTCTTTCCACGGTTTACCTTTTCTTTAGCATTTAGTTTCTGAACTTTTAAATAACTTCTTGAATTTTTGTTTTTCAGACAATTTTTATTAGTAATATTAATTAGAGTCACATTTTGGTCACATAATAATTAGAAGGGAAAATTTTATTTTGGTACCATGTGTTATATCGAAATATGAGTTTAGTACCATTTATTTTAAATATTTTTGTGTTAGTATCCCGACCTTTTAAAAAATCTTCTTTTTGTACTTCAGGTAATTTTTTGAGACACGAAAAGATAAAATTACTCTTATTATTAAATTACTTGTGGCGAAGCCACATTACATGGAGTGAGGGCAGCCGCACCACTGGTCTAAGGTGGCCCCTTTAATTATGCCCCAATTAAATTAATTTTTACATTTTTTTTTCTCTTAATTCGCCCCCTGAATTTTTTTGGTTATGATATTTTTATAAAAATTTTCAGAACATTTCAAACATTCCCTAAGTTTTAACTTTTAAGTATCTCATATTTTAAACGTAAATTGCTAAATAAGTAAATAATCAATAAAACTACTGTCTAAGTTCATAATTTTATGGATTCTAGACCTTAAAAAGTGAATTAAACTCAATTAAAAGCTTGATTCATTTATATTAAAAAACACACAAATAGTTAAATTAATATAAACTGTTCTATTATTTTAATTTAAAACTTTAGTTTTACTCATGCCTCCACTAGAAAAATGTCCTGGCTTCATCACTGTCGGCGGCTATAGAAGCTGCTAAATCTTTTGATTATTTTAGGGTTTGGTTTGGATTTTTTTTTTTTTTTTTTAAGGAAGGCCATTTTTTTTTAGTCAAAGGCTAAAATTAAAAGTTTAATAAATTAAGGGTTGAAACTTTAGATTTATTTTCAATAAAATTTGTTTTTTCTTAATTAAAAATAAGATGTGATCAGTGAGAGATCTTATTATATTGGGTATTCCTTCACATTTTGTGGTCATTTATTTTTTATCTAATGGGTATGAGTAATTACCCTACTGCTGAGGAGAACGTACATCCTCTGGCCTCTACCATAGATTTTTCCTTTTATTTAAAACCCTTAAAAATTAGAACATTTTACATTAACGATTATAACGTGGTTATTTAAAAAAAAAATTAGAAATTATTTGTAAACTTTAATTTTAGAGACTAAAAGTGTAAACAAAGAAAAAAAAAACTAAAAACAAAAAATTAATTTATTAAATTTAAAAGTTTATTGACCAAAATGATAAAATATTCATAGTTTAAGGATTAATAGTGTGAATAAAAAAGAAAAGTCAAATAATTTTTTTAGAAAAAAATAGTGTTAATAAAAAATAAAATACTTCTTATGTTTGATGTTTCTTCTCGTGAGATAATCCCACAGAGTCTCATATAACATATATATATATATATATATATATTGCTAAGGATATTTAAATTACTTTATTCATGTTTTTTCTGACTGGTGTATGGAAAGTTTTTGTTTTCTTAATAGTTAATGGTGTTTGGAAAGTTGGAAAAGTCTGTCCGTTAATTTAAATTTTTAAAAATTTTTTATTGTAATAAAAAAATTAAATGTGATTATTTTTTAAAAAAAATTTTATAATAAATTTTAAATTTTAAATTTAAATCAATAAAATAAATAGACACAATGAGTATAGAGATTTTCGTGGTTCGCTCAGTTCTCTACGAAAGCAAAAGCTTTTTATGTTAATGTTTGGGAATCACGAATCTTTTATGAGGATTTTGCGTAGAGCTGACCAATTTTTTTATTTATTTATTTTCTCGTCTCTGGTCGCTTTCCCTTGAAAGTGAAAAGCATGAATTCGTATACATATTTAGACCTTTCCTCTCACGACATCTATCCTTTATCAAAAACTTTTTTCCTGGTTTGATTAGTAAAAAAAAAAAAAAAAAGAAGACTTTTATCCTGGTTGAAAAATTAGGCCGTGTTTTGGTGTTTTGAAAATGAGAGTCCGTTTGGTTCATAGATTAAAATTATGTGATTAGAATTATTTTTGATTTACGTGTATTTTTTATGAGAGAAAATATTGTAGCGAACCACGAATCATTATTCGAATCAAGGAACGAATCTCTCTACCAAACATCACCTGAATTTCACGTTTCTATTTCTGAAAGTGATTCTTGAATAGCGTTTGTATAGTTATATTTTCGAGATTGACTCATGTAGTTGGCAAAAACGAATAAATAATTACTATTATTAATTGTATAATTATTGATTAATGACTAAATACTAATTAATAATTAAATATGAAAAATTATTAATGAAACATATCGTTGATCAATATATAAATTGTTACTATACTATTAATCATTAGTAATTAAGCTAATTACAAGTGAGAATAAATTATGATTAAAAAAATTACCATGCCTTAAGTGAGCTATAAACAGTCCACACTTCTCATGCACACATCATTTTTTTTTCTTTTGAATTTATGCCATCTGTTTTTTTTTTTTTTTTAGTTTCATCACGATTACATTATATAATATTTTTATTCGATATCAGTAGATAGTGAAAATCTGACTGTGAAAGTACTTTCCTTTTGTAGTTTTTTTTTTTTTTTTTTAAAGGAAACTTTTCTTTTTGTAGACTTTTGAATAAGCATTTTAGTTTTCATCTCTTCTTTTCTTTTGCTAAAGTTTTGTAAATTGTGAATCATGGAAGACAAGGAATTTATTAAAAAAAACTGTTGAATTATATGAGCAAAATTTTAAATTTGGCGGTTGTATAATCTGATAAATTTTACTTTTTTATATGTATGAGTAACATCATTAACCTTTACGTATAAAGGTAGGCTTGCGAAAAGGATTGAGAACAGTACAGAGTCGTGAATCAATTTCGCTCTGCACTGACAAGAACCGGACTGGTTCAATTAATAAGAAAATGCCTTATCTTATATGGCTTGTAACGTACAAATAATTTTATATAGAGATATGATAAGAGTTACACTTATTGACTGGTCTAAGTATTAGACTTG